AAAAATGACTGAAATGTCTGGGAATGAACCACCGTAATAAGAAAAACATTATAATCTCGTTTTATTTGTTGTTATTTTTTTGGTATTTTATTGTTAGCAGTAAATGGCTCCTTGGCAATTAACTCAATTAAATGGAGTGAAATGCTTAAAATACGTACCCAAAAATAGGTACTTGGTGTTTATCATGTAAACATTTTTTTCCGTTAATTGTAGGGCAATTATAACAAAGTTATTTAAATAATTTTAAAGGTGGTTCACTTTTTTTTTCTGTTACCAATTTAGTTTCGTTGTTTAAAAATCTTTAACAAATTTGTTTCTTTATTGTCTTTTTTATTACCTTTATCTTTATTATCATCGCTTAATAAAGTGATTTTCGATTTATCTTTTTTGGTGAATTGTATTAATAAATCAATAAGAAATAATTATAATTTTTGATCAACGAAACGATTTAAAATATCGTGACAACCGCCCACTAAATGAACAATCGTTGAACGAGGCCATTACGTGAATAACCTTGAACGTTATAATTATTATAATACCTATTTATTTAAAAGGCCAATGAACAGAAAAACCTATAATTTTTTTTATGTAAGTTGGCGTTATTTCAATTAAAATTTAAAAAAGTTTTATCTTTTCTTCTTCAACATTCTCATTCGTTTTTAGTCTTTAGTAGCTCTCATTGCCTCTTAATACTTTAAATCTAATATCTTAGTAATCCCATAAATCATATATGTCTAAAGAACAATTCAAATTCAGCTTGGCAGAATATAGTTTGAAAAAAATCTAATTAAGTTCAGTTTTGTTAGGTTCAGCCTGTTACAAAGAAGAATCTATTGAAAAAGCTGCACATGACTAGAATAAGTTGATAGTTTTAAAGAGAATTGAAGGTTAGCTGGAAAAACACCATCTCATTGAAGAGGATATGAGTTTGCGGGTTTTTGTGACAATATGGTAAAATCCCTACAAAATATGATTGGTATACAAGACACATAAATATTACAGATTTTGGTTTAACCCAATGTCGTTTCATTTGGTTGCTTCCACTGGCAAAAATCTCCAGTGTTAAGATAACATCTTTGCCGTTGAAGATAACATTTCGTGACCTTCGTACAAACAATTATTCTATTCTAAGGATACCAAGTTTTTTGTGGCCTTTAGGGGTTACAATTTCTGCTGTCAAAGATAAAATGCGGTCGAAGTGTACAAAAATCCTTTTTGGGCAACCCGTTATGCGATGGATTAAATAATTAACACTTCATATCTTTTAGATATAATGTGCGTAAAAGATGCAATGCTTTTTGACAAACATTCGTACAAACTCTGCGGAAAACTTGAGTGAAATAGGTCACTTAAATTTTCCGTTGCGAAGACAAAATGTCAACCATGTTACGAAGACATATTCTTTTGGTAAAGTTTCATATTTTTGCTTTAAAACATCCTTCCTTTTGACATATCAGGAGTAATCCAAATGGAAATTTTAGTGCTAATTAAGCCTTTATTCATGTTAATTGGAATAACAGCACATTTGAAATGCCTTATGCTTTAATTTCGTTTTTTCTAAATAGTGCGTTTTCCTTAATTTGGAGGCCGTATTTAATAGATAACATAAGATCGTTCTTTGTTCTTGACTTTTGAGATTTACTTAAGATTCAGTATATTTAGTATATTCAGCTCAAGCATTCTCTTAGTCAGCTACATGACAGTCATAAAAAATCTATAAAAATTCAAATCCTCAGGATCTATTTGGAAGTTCATTGGAAATCATCTTAAAATTCTTTCAAAATCTTTAAATAGGCGTTAGAATCGCAATTTGGAAACATTCAGTTTAAAATATTGAAAGTATCTCGAAACCCAAATAAATCTCGCATTTATAAAAGGGCTGTTGATGAAGAAAAAAATAAGATAAAAATTTAGCAGCCATTACATCTATCGAATAACGACACTTGTTAAAGTCACCATCTTAATACTAAAAAGGAAGTTCTAAAAGTAGTTTTGCAATGGTTATTTTGACAACATCGTAGTAGACAATATTATGACCTAATTAAAATCCGAAATGGTCTTGTAATAATTGTGCTGATAAGATTAACGTTTTATTACCTTTAAATCAATTATAGATAGTCCCGGTATGGAAATTAATATTCTGACTCGTCAAATCGAAAAGATCACTGCATCATGATGGTATTATTAAAGAGGTTACCAGAGAGATTTATGTCAGAGGAAGGAATTATGGCTCAGAATCTTGCTATTTAAAAAGATAATTGGGCGTCTGATCGCACAAGTCTCAAATTACTGAAGGTTATTTTAAAAAGGCAACGACTCTGCATAATTATTGCTTACAGTTGCTTGTATGATGTGGAAGTATGCAATCTTAAAAAATGTATTTCTGAATCGGGACCATACACCGAGACTTTCTTCTGACCGTTATTAAGTAATTCACTATGATTGGGTTGGTCGTAGGGCGGGACGAGTTTTGCTGGGTGTCAATACAAATGTTGTAGTGTGTTCTGATTGAAGAATTCACACTGCAGAATTACTAATTTCATAAATTACATATTTGGAAATGTTATGACTACACATTGTCATAACTGCACACTTAAATTTTTTTATTAACAGCAATTAAATAACTACATCGAGAATGCTAAGAGAGTAATTCAAAAACATTCCTCATTTGTCGCAACAACATCTCAGACAAAATATCACGAATTTCCTCTAAAATCCTTTGTTATAATTTACCTAGTGTCCTTCAGCGAGACATATCGACCTGACACTTAAGGTAACATTACAAGAAAATATCACAAACGTACAAATTCGGTGACCTTAGGAGCCGGGTAATGTCACCAAGTCACCAAATATCATCCAGTTTCGTAGACCCGACTCTTAAATCGCACAACAAATTTACAAACGGGTAAGCGCAGTGATGTTGAGTGTCTGTCGTTGATTCTTGAGTTGACACAGTTACAGAATACTTCTCGCGCAGCTGTCATTGATTGACTACCAATGAAGGATATTATGAAACTTCTTCAGTCTTATCAACTTCATTTTCGGAACATCTTTTCTAATCCAAATTTATGACGCAAGAGAGAACTCGAACAAGTCGCCATAAGCTAAAAATAAGTCCGAACTTTCTTTGCGCATCTTCCAAGCTATCATTGTTTTAGTAACACATTTTTATGGCAAAAGCAAGCTGTTAATCATTTCACTTATCCATGATCACTAACAGATCACTGATAGATTTGTACCAGTACAAATAAATATTCAGCAAAAACGATGATTCTGAACCTAAAAGTGCCGCATAATGGTTATATTATATTCATATACTATGACAGAACAAGAACAAGTTATAGAAATATATTATCGCAGAATCCTCGGTCATCATCTACTTATATCAAAATAATTAAGTTCAAAATAGTTGAGATTATACGTTTCAAGTGATACAATCTCTTAGAGTTAAAGAATATGTGGTGCCATGTAAAATGAATAATTTTGAAAGGATCTGGAGCTTTCAAACAGTCAAACATTCACATTTATGTTGTTATGGCCTTTCCAACTTTCATGTGTGGCTACTATGTCTAGAATGTAATTGCATATTTCTTAAGTTTAAATGTGGAAAAACGGTAGATTCGAGAAAGTATAAGTGAAAGATACAAATTACACTAAATATTAGATCTGAAATAAGGCACAAACGATAGATCTGGTACACGGATAATTTCTAAAACGCAACATTCTTGAAGCTTCATTCGTGCTATAATGTTATCCAGTTCAAATCATATCTTAATTCACAGACCTGAAATTATAAGCACTAGGAACAAAGATTTTTGGAATTACTGCAAATGAAAAAATTTTCAAGTGAAAAGCAATGGAAGATCTCAAACAATTTTTTGTAACATGAGATGCTTTGGTATCGCCCTTATGACAATTAATGTGTTGGCAGTCGATCAAATCTACTAAATTGTAGAATAATAAAGAAGTTGTTATATCATAGTAAGGACTACAGATACAAAAGATTTGATTTCGTTAGAAAAAGGAAATGAAGAAACCTTGGCGTAAATAACACACTTTGAGTTGCAACTCAAAGAAATAAAAGTTACAGAAAGAAAGACAAAAGTAATATTTCAAACTTTACAACCACCAAATGCTTGTACATTGCCCAGAATGAAGTAACTTATGATATATGAAGAAAGGTATTTAATTGAATTGACTTTAAATGGGAGGTTATAACCATTACTTGTATAAACAAAAATGTTTTGAAGGGCCATACATCATGCATTCATACTGCTTATACCCATTCAGTTATAATCTATGTGTTTGTTATATGAAAATTACCAATATAAAGGAAATTATGAAGCTTCGTGATTGAATTAAAAATCAATCAAATATCTTTAAATACATAATTATGCGAGTATAATTATGACCTTGAGTTGAAATAAACGATCCGGTCTAAAAATAACATTAAATGTTTAAAATTTAAGTTGAAATTTAAATTTCAAAAACATTCCAAAGAAAATTTAACATTCCTATTTTAAACCGGTTGTAATTGATATTTTAAGATCGTTTCGATTAAAAAAACTAATTTTAAATCGCAAAATGAAAGGGAAACCGATGTTGAACTGGTATTATACAAGAGCAACAAAAACTGTGAGACAACGTTGCTTTATTAAACCAAGTACAGGTCTGAAGTGTTTAATTAGTTTTACATAACGTTCCTATTAGTGGATTTTATGCAACAACTTATGGAATGGGTATTTTATTGATTACATCTTTATTATTACGTTCACAAAAAATCCAATAACCTTCAAAAAAATCAAGATGAAGTTTTAAAATGACCCATTCTCGTTAGAAAAGATATTTAGCACTTGTAATTAAAGTCTTTTTAAATACCAACATTCGCAGGATTTCCTCAATTAATTTTACGTTAACTAATTAATTTTATCCTTAATAATGACACATTCCCGTTTCCTCCGCTAATTATTAATGGATAATTTTCTGTTTATGGTGCTTACCTTATGAAGATGTTCCAATGCCAAAATAATTTCTCCTATATAAATTCGAACTTCGTCTTCCGTAAAATGATCTCTTTGGTATAAATGCGTAAACAATTCACCACCGGCGACGTAATCTAAAAAAAAAAACAAAAATGTTAAAATAATATTAAGATATTTGAAAAATGGCCAACGGGCGGATGCATAATTCAACGCTTAGAAAGTTTTGTAATCTACTTTCTATGGTATCTTTAAAATTTTAGTTTTTTTTTTTATTTCGCGAGAAAGTTGATGAATACATACAAGTATTATTTATTGTTAAAGTTTCTAAATTTAAAAACAATGTAGTTTTGAGTATTAAAAGAGAAAATACAAAAAATAATAAATGTTAGAGTCAAAATGTTGTATGTGGAACTTATTTGAAAGGTTTTATGGTGACCATAGTTTGTTTAAGCATTTGACGGAGTGAAAGTCATTATGAAAGTATTTAATATCTCTTCCCCTTACTTTCACTAAATTCATTTTAAAGTGTAACAGTTAAAAGGTTATAATTTTCTCACCTTGATAACCATTTATTTTTGTTAAATTGATAATTTGATTGTATAACGGTATCTTTTTTGATGTATTTAAATATTTTATTATTATATCTTGCGGTTTTATAGTGTTGCAACAGGTTTCATAAAACGCATAACGTACACCATAAAACCAGATTCCCACCTAGTTAAACTCTAAAGCAATGAAATCTAACACTGACAATGAGAAGTAAATACAATTTTTGTGCTTTAGTTTATGTGTCGGCATTAAACTAAGTGTGCCACGGCCGTATAATACTTTATGAGAAGGTTGATTTATGACACAGAAAACTATAGTCGCATATTTAATTAAATAAATTTCCTGAACTTGGTAAATAAATTTTATATTCCCTGAAATCGTTCGTTATTACTTCTGTTAATTCCTAAATTGTACAGTTACGTCTCGTGCTTGGCAACAGCGCAAAACCTATCCACTTGGCCTGATTTCACAGTATTACAGCAGTATTGTAGCGTTACGTTGAGCAATTTACTGCCACAATACCCGGCGCTATGGATTTCTTTGTATGATTTTTTTTGATTCATTCAACGAAGTCAGTACCTAGTAGAAAGAATTCGAAAACTCGACATACTCTTTTAACTTATTGTCAGTATGACTCACGCATCGCAGTGTTACACCTCAAGATGGCCATTTTAAATCGACTGAGTCACGATAAAATGAAAACATGTGTTCTGTAAATTCATAGAATATTATAATAAGAATTTTTGTGGGGTTTATTCATCAACGCGAATTAAAAATAGATAATAAACTGACCATCTACACTACATAATTTATAGAGACCTATATCAAATAATAAAATTATCGATAAAAAGATAAAAATTAAAACCACACGTGTATCGCATGTTCAATGATATAGAGTGTTTCGTTAATCATAGATCGACGAACTAAAATTATTTTTCTATGTAAAATAAAAATATAGTTGTTTTAGTATTTTTTTCTTTTCCACTACAGTATTAATATAGCTTAGTAAACAATAAAGATTAGCACAAAATAAACCAAAATTCAATAAATACGTATATATATATTATGCTATGATGAAACAATTCCTGAATATTCATCATATTTTATGATGCAATTTATATATAAATTTGTTAATTTGGTAAGATAAAAACACTGGGCTTTTATTGATGATGTGTTTTGCAGGATTTTTATGCGATTAACGAGACCATTCAAAAAACATGGTTTTAATCTGTACTGGATTCTAAATGTTTTTTCAAAAATTGTGTTAACTTTGAATAATAAGATAAGATTAAAGTAAATTTTACTTTGCTGTATAGGTTCATGGAAAGTTTATTTATGTGTGTATGCAGGCTGGGTTGAAAATAATGTAGAGATGATGTCGAAACAATGGATCAAGAGAACAGTTTTTTTTTCGCGAAAGAAGAGAAGTTTTAGAACTACCTGATATAGGAGGCTAATTTAAAGAATGCATGAAATGCAAAAAAATGCAATAATTAAAATAGCAGTTACATGTCCAAGAAATATTAGCTATTACAATCTTGCTGATAGCAATAAAAAACAGATGGCAGAATATATGTGGTAAATGGATTAATGCGCTGTGAATTGAGACTTGTAGCATACAGGTTTTCCTCAATAGCAGGGACGCACGATTCTAATACTTTTTTTTTGATTAAACTAATGGAAGAATTCTGCAGACAAATTTTTACAGTCTTTTTGGATGGATGGAGAAACTAGCTTAGATTCTTCATCTATATAATAGATAATTAAATAACAAAGTAATTAAGATTTGCTGGGTAATTAAATTGACGTAAAAAGTCTGAAACTTCGCTGAAATTGTTCATTACCACAAATCAAATCATAAATTGGGTTCGTAAACAAATTGTATTATTACGAGGTTCCCTAGAAAGAATATGGCATAAAATAACAATTGCCAGAAAATATTCTGCATGACCATAAGATTTTTCAAAATTTAAAATGCTATCAACTTAGAGCTAATGAGACTAACATAAGCAGAATTATGTGCTGCTCCAATTGATTCTGCCCTTTACCTTCAAAGAAATCTGCGCAGAAACCTTCTATTTCTATTTCAATCCAGATTTCATGACTCATATAGAACATTTTTGAACTTCGTATGTACTTGCATAACAATTCTTTTCAAGAATCTTTCATTTTTATCTTCTAATAATTTTATTACTCCTGAACTATTTAGACTAACCACAATCTATAATGCAATCTAATGAAATAAAAAATAGGGAGTCTGTGTTTTGGGAAAATTATTAATACTGTGGCAAATTATTAATTAAAGTTGCCCTTACACATTTAATAGGATTAAGGCCGGATTTGATCGTAGCGAAGTAATGATATTTTTTATAAATAAACCCCTTGATACAATTAATAAGTTAAATAAACCAATTTTCTAATTAATTTAGTTCAAGTAAGCTCAAATTAAATGCTGACTAAATTATAATTACTGCCTTTTTGCTATGCCCCAACATGGGGAAACAAAATCCTGATCGTGTAAAGTTTCAGAGAGTTTGAACTCTAAATTAACATGAGATATAAGCATATCCAAAACATATTTTATAAATTATCTGGTAATACGTCTTAAGTAATTTTATGTCTTCACAAATATTAAGATTGCTCCCAGGGCTTTATGAAGTCAGAACTACTGGATATCTTCTACGGTCTTCGTAGTTTCCTACCTTTTTTACTGGATTCTAGTCGGAACCAATATTTCTGACAACTATGAGTGAACCTAAAAGTTTGGGAGTTTATTTGGTAAACTGTTGCACATTGCATCCTCTCTGCTCTAATCGACCTTAAAACTAAATTATCCTTTCTTTTACTCTTGAACATCTTCAATATTAGTTCTACATTTCGGACAACCTGAGTCTTAATCGTCTCGAATGGATTCTTTGAATACCTAGGCTTTATGTACTTAGAACTACTGGATATCTTCTGTGGTCTTCGTAGTTTCTTATCTTTCTTACTGGATCTCCGCTAGGGCCAATACTTTGAACAAGTCTGCATGAACCTAACCGTTTGGAAGCCTACACGATGAATTTTCTATTATAGTTCCGTGGGTTCTCTTCTTGTCCTTCATTATTTGATCTTTGATTTCAATTCTTATCATTTTGCCACTGAACTCTTGGATGTATTCTTCTTTCATTAATGATAATTCTTCAGGTCTTTTCATTGATGGTCCAAACATTATTTGGAAGTGCACTTCTTTGATACGTGCTATTCTCTTCGTGTCAATCTCCCGTTTCATCAATCGTTAATTTTGGCAATGTGAATACTAATTGTAACTCTTGGAATTCGTGTAATGTGGAATTTCCAAAAGATGTTTTTTGCGATTCAAGCTTATCTAAGATGTCATTTGTTGAAGTGTCGTTCTTTGTTCGATAGATCCATACGAATTTTGTGAAAGCGTCGATGATAATAAACATTAATAGTGTTTTTTTTTAAGTTTTTGTCATTGGACATAAATCTGATATAACTTTCAATAATTGTCTAAATTGTTTAATTTAAGTCGATTTCGGAAAATTCATAACGGCTTTTATTTAGTATCTTGCAGGTGTCTTACAAAACATTTTTATGACATTAAAAATAAAAATAACCTTGTCTAATTTACTAAAACCTTAATAAAAGTTAATAAAACATCAATTTTATATCATCATTTTTAACCATCACTATTTATAAACAGCGGAAAAGAAAGAGACAAAAAACAGAAACAACGTGTGTTTATATTAATCTACTTTGTGTTTATTCTTATTAAAAACAAATTTGTACACTCAATATTTCGATATAAAGACCCCACACGTGTCTACCGCTCCTAAAAGGGAGGTAATAGAAGCACGACTTTCTTTATTAAACACGTTAAGCAATATCAAAAACTTAAGTAAGCAATTATGTGTTGTTCGCTTTGTGCCGATAAATCGATTTTACCTGGATTTGATTCTATTAAAGGAAAATCTACTTAATTTGAACAAGTAGACCGTATTATATGATGGAGTTTTTCTTATCAGGGGCAAGGGGATGGTGAACCCCCGACAACGTCGTTCCCAGACGGTTCGTTGTACTTTTCGTATAGATTTTACCACCGCACCAAAACTCTCCGGGTCGACGTACAGAAGGAGGGGTTGAGGACTGATTCAACCCCAAACTCAAACCCCTTTTGGAATTCTTTCGTCTAGCCACTCTTTGTGGCGATATGTTCCCTTTTTTTGTCTTTCTTTTTGATGGTGATTCGCAGACGAAATAAACCTTTTTTTTATGATGTGATTTAGCTTTAATGGGAAAAAGCTATTACGGATTTAATTACATTGATAAAATTACTTAAGTAATTCTAGATAATAACGTATTTATTCACTTTTCCTTAGCTAGTTACATTTTTGTGAGAGGATCTAAAAGTTTGTGAAAGGAAAACGTACTATCTCTGACCTTTAGTAAGTATTATAATAAAAATTTCCTTTTTCCAAGAAAATATAAATTCCTAGAAAGTCATGCATGCGCACACTGATTTATTGTGGAAATAATTATTAATATCTCTAGAAATTTATTGATTTGAATATGGTGGTATTACGTTTAAATGTACCCGTATTAACCGTTTTCGTTAACGTTGTTACATCATGTCATCAAGCACGTAATGTATATTTATTAACTGTACGATGTTGTAGAAACACGCTTGGCAACAACATAAGTTGCTTTCGTTATTTTCATAAACCTTGAAATGAAATATTTTTCGTTAATATCACGGTGGATTTCGGAAAGAAGTAAATTTGCGAACCGTTAAAAATAAAATTTACATACCGTGTGATTAAAAAAAAATATTGAGTGACATTTAACCAAGATTAATAAAGGTGAACAAAAAAGGGTACCCCGTCCAAAGTCAAACCACCATTTCATGGTAAAATGACTACGACAAATTGTAAATGTGTAATTACGTAATTTGAAAAAGGTCAACGGCGACAGCAAAATGCTTTATCACCAAACTAAAACCTGTTATCAAGGAAATCTTTATCGAAACAATTATGAACAAACGTAAACAATGGTAAAGTAAAAAGGTTTATTGCATTATATTAATTGACGAGGGCGATTATAATAATAATTAAATTTATTGTTAGCGTACAAGGATTCTTTATAATTAACTTCATCAATCAATCAAACAAAAAAATGCTTACCTAATATCAGGTGTAATTTGGCATCAGTCTGGAACGCATAGTGCAAAGTAACTAAAAATGGATTATCTCGGACGGCCTCGAGCACTTGTCTTTCTGTTTTTGTATGTTCTGTTGTCTTTTTCTTCTGTACTATAGTAGCCTTCTTTAAGACTTTCATTGCATAAAGACGGCCGTGATCAGAACCACCTCTTTTTCTAACTAGGAACACTTTACCATAAGCTGAAACAAAATAAAACTGTTCAAAAACTTTTGAGCACCTCAGTATCGACGTATAAACACACATAAATGAATGGAATGTACGATGCGCATATTGAAATTTCTCAACGAATGCATCTGAGAGTTCTTGAATGTTTAATATAATTAATCACAACAATCGTAAAAGGTCATGAACTTTGAGGTCGCTTTCTGTAACTCCGTTTGGAAGATTTTTAGCCATTTCAATTATATTATTATAGACGTCCGAATCATCCTTGAACTTTGCGTTTTGAAAAGTTTGCGTGGAATTTTTTTAACCATTTTATTTTTGAATGGAAATAATCGTCTCTTCCCCCATTCGAATTCCTGGTTTAATTTAACAATAACTGTTTAAACCAGATGGATTTAACACCACGAAAAAAATACCGTTTCTTTCGTTTCCGACGTGTTAAATTGAGTACCGTATGGAGTGGTGGAGTTGGAACGCGTTAAACTTTAATTACTTAAAAGCATGTTCAGGAAGTATTTCTTTTTTTTTAGGTTAGTCGGATAAATTACATAGAATTTCAACTACAAATATACTAACTATTCCATTGAGGAAATGGAACATAAGGTTTCATGAATAAACAATATTTTAGATTTGCTATTTTAGATATACAGACATTATTTATATTATTATCAAATTATAGGTATCACGTGAAAATTTCTACAATATTAAGTCATAAAGTTAACGCAACAAATAATGTAAATTACTATAGATATCTGATCATACTTTTAATTAAAATATCTGTTATCTTATGTTGGAAAACTTTTTACAACATCCATATCACTGCAAACCATGTTATGTGCTTATTATTGGTGATTAAACCTTCCAAGTCCTGGGTAAAACCTGTCTACCACTGGTTTACCTGTTTCATTATCGTATTTAAACAAGAATACTAGTTTTATTTGTACATAATTTTACATGACAAACATTTTATTTTACTGAAATCTCGATCAATCGGACAAGCCAGATTATCTGCAGTGATTTACATACTTTACGCGTTATTTATAGCACCTTGAAGACACTTGATTGGACGCTTGCTTGTATTTCGTTTCAGACTTGACTTGAAATGTAGAAAATGAAAAGTCAATTCTAAAATTTTTGGGCTTTTACACTTTCGATTGTAGATGTAGATTAAGAGAAAGTCTACGTTTTAAAAGCACCTTTATGTCTCTTCATCACTTTCATCAAGAACCAATATGCATATAAAATCAATAAAAAGAAATAGTAAAAAGTTATTTTGCTATTTAGATGTTAAGAGGTTAGTCCAGAATATTGAACCATCATAACACAACACAGACTACATAGAAAGTTTTCAAATTTTGAGATTCATTGTTTTGAAAAGAAGAGAAGAATTAAAAATGACATATAACAAGATAATTGATAATAATGAACGGTCTTCGACGATATTGATGAATATGGGGAATAATAAATGAGACCAAAACATATTGAAATTTCAGACAAGCACTCGCAGATTACAGCTAAAGTTGAGAAAAACTTCAAAGAACGCTTGATGAAATAGAGTTATGATATAAATTGGAATGGACTAGAAGAAAAACATAAAAAAGATACTAAAACAATTTTGTAACATGAATAGTTTGCCCCTTTCTAAAATTAATTAATTAAAATATGTAGTCATCTCAAAATTGCAAATATTCAAGGAAAATCGATTTTCTAAAAAATATTTCTTTCTCATACATAACTTTGAAGACGGCGATAGAAATAATAAAGTTATAAATAATTTTTTGTTATAACCGAAGACCTCTCTCTCCCTCTTTCTCTTCAGAGAAAAAGCTCGTTCATCTACATCCTGAAGAGGAGAAGGCTGAAAGCAGTTAAAACAGTAGCCTCTCTTTTAAACCAAAATTACTGTAACTATTAGGGGTTGGAAAAATGAACCACAAAAGGCTTCAAAAGGCTTCTGGGGAGAGGGTAACTTTACGAGATTACCCTCAAGCAGGTATTAAAAAGGTTTGCAACTCCCACAAAAGAAGGTGGCGTGACCTTGAGGTCTGACGCGTTTACGATGGGATTGTGGAAGAAATTATGGTGTGTATACACAGAATTCGCTCAAGGATTGTACGCCATATTCAGGTTGATTTCTTGTTACTAATGCCAAGAAAATTTGTACGACTGGCAGATGGGCGTCGTCGAATTACCCTTATTAAGTTTTGACGAAATCACGACGCTTCGTGCTGCATTTTATTTAGAACTCGATAAAATGCACGGAAGCGTAAGATGTGTAACTCCGTGGATATGGAAATCTTTGCAATATAAAAATTGCAGGGGAACTGTCACCTACAATCTTTGCATAGCTGATTGAAATTCATACGCGAAAATATATCTTGTTAGCAGAAGTCTTGAACTAAACACCTAGATCATAGAGAAATGCATGTTCAAGCATGATGATCCGCATCGTTATAAATATTGAAAAAAGTAAAATCTCCCTTATTTAGCTTTAGACGTTTCTGTTTAATTCTTGTTCATTACGAAGAATTTACATTTCAATAAATAATATCTGTGTACCACCAGACATCAAGTTGATTTATTTTGTCTCTTCAAGGTAGCACGAGTAGAATAAGATAAGATGATTTGATATGTTGATAAAATTAACCTTGAAGCTTACAACTTGAAGTATTGAATATCGCTGATACCGCGAATCGAAAAGCAGGATAATCCAACAGTTAACCTTTATGGCAAACCCGTCGAGAATTAACATCCTATTGACAATTCTCAACGACAAATAAACAAAAATCTTTTTAATTAACCGATAAGAAAATGGCATTTTTTAATGAATTGTTCAACGCCTAACCTCGACCAGAATTAAAAAATGTTAAATATGTGAAGAATATGGTTTGCGTATCCAAAATAATTAACACTATCGCAAGGAGAAATTGAAAACGCCATGTTTAGGCACATACATATTAATAATCCCGCCTTAAGTGGCTATTATGTCATCTCACCTAAATACGCATCACCTGAGTAACTATCTCTCAAACTGTAAACTCGACCCGTTTATAGTCACTGAATACTCACATGATGCGTCGACCATGACTTGAATCGATTTTTAATATTAATAACATTAAAAAAAATCCTAAGTGGTCTTTAAGGTTGAAATTGGTTAACAATATATTTTTATCATGTTGGTTATCCAAATATTTACGTCGCTATAAATCTCTATTAATTTGTTCAATACAGGTTCCTGTTAAATATCCAGCATGGCCTTAATATATAGTGTAATATATTTGTTTGTTATATAGTTTGAATTATAAAATTTAAAAAGATCTAAATTATATTCATGAAAATAGAGGAGAAACACGATATTCTTGCTGATGTATATGTCAACAAATGTCTTTAAACTGTAACTCAAGTTGTCCCTCAAGAAATCATACGATTTTATATCCAACTAAAGTTATACTTGCGTATAAATTCCTCTTGTTTGGACACTTAAATCGAGCGTAACTCAAGTAACGAAACCGATCTTGAGTAGTCGTCACGTAACTAATACTTAAATAACGATTTGAGCGATAACTATTAATACAATCCTTGTAGAGTTTGTTAAATATTCAAACACAAAAATATATATGTAATTATTATCAAAAAATTTATAACAATGATTTAAAAAATACAATATAAAATTAATCAAACCGGAAATGAAAACCAGATGCTTTTTGTATTTAAATTTTAACACTAAGTCAAGCGAGACTATCTTTGAATAGTCTTCGAATAAACGGGAAATGGCCTTATTAATGTGAAGTAACGCGATAAATAAGGTATTTTACTTTGAAGATGCAATTAAGCGTAAACTCATATCGCCTTTCTTTAAAAAAAAACCCATTCCAAAAAAAACGTACTTAGCGTACGTTTTAGAGCATCCTGTATAGTAATCGTAATGTGGCCGTTGGGGCGTATCACAAAAAAGACAATTACCCAAGCAGCATCGTCTACTCATGCATCCTGTTATATGCAACTCGAAGAAGAAGTAGCACATAACGTGCATCCACTGTTGAGAACCAACCGAGTTGCCTTACAAGTGTTCCTCAATGGTTTTCAAGATTGCTTGGTACGATACAAGTGGTCGTTTACTTGACAGTTATTTCTTACTGGATAATGCAAACTATGTTAGTTGTTATTTTGTATTCAATTTTATTAAATAATAACTGAGAGCACGAACAGTTCATCGTGGTATTTTGAATTTTTTCAACACCTGTATGTTTTCAAAATCCCCTCATTAAACCAACCAAAAAGGTTGTACTGCTTCTTAGTTAGTACTTTTCGAGTTCACGATGGCCAGCTGTTGTTAATTGGTACGGCTCACGACCTTCATGGAACTGTACCTTCCACATCGCCGGTGTATTTTAGCAGCAACGTTTCCCAGCGACCGTCGACCCTAACAACTGTAGTATACACGTTGTCGCCTTGAATGGGCAGCTTTTAAACCACCTACGCATAATCCGTTTAAACAGTCGCCTTCTGAATCACTCCCCAAATATCTCTATCTTTTCGTTGTCTTTTTTTGATTACGAATTTTTAAAGCCTATTTTAAATGTTGAGATAGAATCTCGTTGACCCCGACCGATGTGGTTTCCGGCGACTTCCTGTTTTCACGGAGCGGAGGAGACCTTTGCTCCGAGATTCCGGCAAAAGGAATGTCGACCGGCGACGACTTTGCGCAGTGTCAAAAAGTCAAGGAGTCGTAATCCTTTAATTACAGTTACGTTTGCGGGCTACAAACATCACAGTGCCGATTTGATTACCTTGTATTTGAATCAAATTAAGGAAACCGCGACCGGAAAATGATAATGCGAATAACTGTATACAATCGGGAGCAAGATGATGCCTTGCGGATGGCATTATAAATATGTAAACTCTAAACACAGACGATATTAATTAAGTTTTTGTATTGAATCGTTTGGATTAAATTGGTTTAATTAATGGATTTAAATTGAAATATAAAAGAATTAAATAAAATAGCATGACA